GCTGAAAGCGGCGGGCTCGTTGTTCTGGTGTGCTGGAGCCATGGCGATCGGAGAGGAAAGTCTCCATGGCTTTGTGACATTCGGTAATAAGTGATTCATAAAGACCACTGTCCCATTGATCAAGACGCCGAGTCAGCAGTGGTTTGATGTCGCGGTTCCGGCGAACATGAGGGACCTTTTGAAGAATGACCATGGTAAAAATCAGGGGCTTTTCCCAGTTGTGACGTCGGTAGACGACACCTTCAATAAGATCAGCATAGGTTCCGAGGAAGCGTTCGGCAAGAGCACCACCGGGAAGATGGTATTGATGGGGAAGGCATTGATATAGACGTTGTAAATAGGACTGCCCGAGTTGATCGGTTATGGGGTCGATGCCACCATGAAGGTGGGTGCCGTCATTCCAGTGGACATGGTCGCCATAAAGAGCGTCTAGGCTGTTGTCGGCGGTGGTGGGAGAAAACCCGGGAAGATCACTATCAGCGGGAGCATAATCAGTAGGCCCGAGAGGAGGAGGTGGAGCCGGCACTGGGGTGTTTGGAGTGTTGAGAGTGCGCGGCTGTGGAATAGTGGAGCCGGGCGTATTGGGAGTCCGGCGCCGGGGACTTCGCCGTCGGGGAGTGCTGGCAGCCAGGAGGAAGCTGGGAGGCAGGAGTAGTAGTGGCGGCAGGAGGCTGGGAAGCAGAAGTAGGAGTGGTTCTGACGGAAGCTAGAGGAGATTGGGTGGCCAAAATTGGAGTGGCTTGATGATTGAGGGCTGCCCGTGGTTGGGCGGCAGGGCTGAGAAAGGGCGAGGGGTCGGGATTGATAAGGGAATCCTGACGAACAACTCGACGAGAGCAGCGGCCGGAGGCACGGGGACAGCAGGTGTGGCAAGCTTGTTTGGCTCGGAAACAGCGGCACCAGGATGTTTTGCATTGACCGGGACTGGTACAAGCACAACAATAGGTGATGGGGGCACGACGGGTTGCGCGGCAGAACTGATTGGGTTGGGGAACAGCAACAGGAGATGGTTGTTCTGGTTCAACAGGCAATGGCGGTGCAGTGGCAACTGGAGTCGGCGGCTGAGAGTCGGAGGAGCCAGCAGTGAAGAATGTTGTGGTGGAACCAGTTGGGGAAGAAGAAGAGTTGGAAGCTTCATCGTCAGCCAAGTCGGCCAAGATGACCACTGGAGCCACCATGACGGGAGCCACCATGACGGGAGGAGCCACCATGACACGAGGAGCCACGGGTTGCGCCATGAAGAGGCTGGAAGCCTCTGGAATTCCAAGAAGGCGAGGGGGAGCAATAGAAGAGGGGGCCTGGAAAAGGGAAGATTGACTGGAAGGGGGCACCCCCAGATAATGGACAATGGCCAAAGGTAAAATAAGAGAGAGCAAGATGATGGGGAGTTGCATAAGAAAAACAAAGGGTATGGCTGCGTCGGGCATGTAGGAATTGCCTTGGAGAGATAGCTGGTTGGAGGTCAGAGACTCTGAGATCCTCAAAGTAGCATTGCACCAAGGACTCCTCACAATTTCAATTACGTGCTTACTCCTAAGACCATTCAATACCGGGGTCACCCATAGCACAAAACCCAAATGGTTGGCATCGAGTATCGCCGGCCGACCTGAGTCCAGTGAGTCAAATGCGATTTGGGCGATTGGGTTGAGTGAGCTCCAACGCAAATCAGCACTGTTTGGGTAGCCTCAACTGCGGACCCAAACCCATTTGACTCATTGGATTCAAATTTACTTAAGGAGAATAATTGCCACATCATCAATGACATCATTCTAACATCACAATACGAGCGTTGAGGTTCTCTTTCACGAGCAAGCATAGCCTTGCTGCGAGTATGTCAAGCCACCGACCATTTGGGTTTTGTGCTATGGGTGACCCCGGTATTGAATGCTCTAACCTAACTATATGCCTTACCTGGGGATCTTTTGATCGCACGTGGGCTGATTATTACAATTTGAAATAAGGGGGGTTTTAGAGTAGGGAAATTATCTACGGAAGCCAGCCGGGGCCAGGCTTAAGCAAAGAACAGTCGAAATTCAGGACTAGGTTCTGTGGGATCAGGGGCAAGAAATTGAGGACCATTACGGGGGGCAAAGGGTTTGGCTTTGCGGGATCCACGGAGACATAAATGGGTAGCTTTCACAAGGGCAATGGAGATACGGGTCTGCATGAAGAACATCATTTGAGAGTAGGAAAATTGAGTTTTGGAGGCAGTAGCAGAAGCAAGGCGTTGTAAGAGAGTCTTGGCTTGAGGGGGCAAGATGCCATCCACTGAAACAACAAGGGGTGGAAGGAAGCGGATTGGACTCGCACGCTCTTTATATGTGGAAATTTTGTCGCGTTTTGTTGGGTAAAAACTTTGACGGGATCTTTGTTGCGGTAAGAGCACAGTCCAAATCAGTGAACGTACGTCAATAATAGTGTAGTACCTCGTTCAAACAAGCCGCGAATGGAAAGATCACCACGTAAGAGCTCGGGGGCTGGAGGGGGGTTGAGAGGGGGGGAGGAAGGGAGGAAGGTAGAAATTGGGTGACCGGAGGGATAGTAGGGGCGGGAACAGATGAAGGGGTGGTTGGATTGGACGCTAGAGGAACCAAAGCATTCACATGCAATAGAACCAAGTTCATTGCGGATTTCATTATGGCGACGGATGATTAAGCACCGCGTTTGCAATCCAGAGCATGTGGAACGCTGAAGGGACCATACAGCCATCACAAAGAGCTGGAAGAGCTGGGGGGTAAGACCGAATCGGAGAAAGAGAGCATCACGCCATTCTTGAGCAGAGAGGTGAGTGCGTTTGGCAATATCGGGCATGACTGCAAGCCAGGAGCCAGTGCAACGACTGCGATTGAGTCGGGACTGCTCAGCCGGAGTGAGAGTGGCTTGATGGGTCTCGAAAGCCGCTTGGTAGGCGTCTTGATGGCGTTTGGTGGGCGCTGATAGACCTTCTGTGAGGGCTGTGCGATGGTCTTCAATTCTGAGGGATGACGTGGGGGCTCAAGGAAGGGGGTGGCAGGGTCGTGGAGGGGGCTAGGGGGGATGGATTAAGGGCAAGGGGGCAAGAAGGGATCGGGTAATTTCCGAAGTAATTTCGCGACTGGCAATGTAGCGGAGGGGGCTTCCGTAATGGGGTTGGGAGAGAAAGGCCAGCAAATTGTATGGGAGGGAAGTGAGAGCTCGGGGGGGTAGTTCGCTTGAATGAAGTTCCAGAGAGCGGGGAGAAGCTAAAATCCAGAGCATTTTCCAAGGGAAGCCAAGAGTCCGAGGGGACACGACAGACACGTTGCACAAATTGCCATTCCATTTGGAAGACTTTTGGCAGGAATATAAGCCGACTGGGGGTAGAAATGAGCCACTTCACAAAGAGATTGAATGCAGGCCGTCCAAGTGGTGATTTTGGAAGAAACCCAGGAGGAAAGGGCTTCAGGTTCGCCGATATGACCACCGAGAAATCTGGCCCATTGTGACTTTGAGTTGAGAGCCGCGGGTACGCGTAAATTGAGTGGTGGCTGTGTGAAAATTGGCACTGTGAGTAATAATTTTGCATTTATTGCGCTGAACAAAGTAGCCGAATGGTTCCAGCCGAATAAGACGGGCTAGAAGCAATTGTAAATCAGTAAATTTGCCTGCAGCATTGGCATCATCGGCATACCAGAGATGCAAAAGGTGAGGGAACTCATGATGAAGCCGTTTAATGAGAGGAACTAAGGCTAAACCGTAGCAGTAATGGCTAAAGGATCACCTTGCACGACTCCAACAGCGCTGAGGATAATGTGAGCTGTTCCAGCGGTGGAGTCGTGAAAAATAACAAGGGACCAATGTTTGTAACTGTTGAAGGTAAAGCGGGCGCCTTCGGGCCAAAGATGGCGAACTGTATAAAGCATGGCAGTTCGATTCAATTCGTTGAAGGCGTTAGAAGCATCTATAATAAGGAAGCCAAAATCAGAGTCGAGACTGGCAGATGAGCCAAGGTGATGATCCCAAACATGATTTGCTGTGTGGACGGCACCTTCAATGCCTGCTTTCAAACCAACGGAAAGCTGAGAAGTGCCAGCTGCTGCAGCCGCAGCGGGGCCAGCAACAGCGAGGACACATTTGGCAATGTAGCGTCGTTCAATGTTACCAATACCTATGGGCGTACACCGGGAAATTTATCGAGAGCCATGCCGCGATTGGCATTGAGAGCTCGGATGGCGGCCCAAGGAACCAAGTTGTTGGCTTGCCATTGAGCAAAGAGACCAAACGCAGCTCGAAGTTGGGTACTAGCTCGGCGATACATGTACCACTTACATTCATCCCTGTCGCAGTCCGCGACGAACCCTGTAACCATCTTAATCGGTCTGCAGCTAGGCTACAGATGCATTGCCTCCCATCAACTCTCCCATTCGAGGAACGAGGTGATCTCCTTATCTGTGGCCTCTGGCAATGAGGACCTGATGGCATAATTGATGTCCGTGTCATCAATCTGCTTCTCATAATAGAGTTGCAAGGATCCTCACAAGGTCGTTCGCCCGTTCACCCCTTTCACCCCTCTTTATTAATATATCTCCAGTACTGGACTAAGAATATAGTTAACTTATTAATGAGGTAGAAGTGTAGCTAGCTATAGTCTACCATGGCTTGGCTCAGTATAGTTTTTTCTTCTTTTTATGCTCTCTCCAGCAGATTTCTCGCACCAGTCGGAAGGCCTTCGCGTTTTCGCTTCCTCTGCAACACATTCCCCCACTCATAGTAACACTTCCATGCTGAGCTGCATTGCTACTTGTATTTTCCCTGAGACTTCCATCTCTCTATCATTCCACTTCGTTACGAACTTGATAATAAGGTATATCAAGATCTGGCAATTACAGCAGCGTCATGGATGCCTAGGAAGATCCGCCATGGCGTGATTTCATCCCGGGTATTCCTGGTATTGGTAGTGTGGACTTCATCATTGGTTGCTTTCAGCGCCTCTGGAATGCTTCAGGTTGCCCTTGGTTCTTCCAGTCATCGAGACACCAGTGTGGCTGACCAAAACAACAACAGTGTGACTGACCATGATGATAACCCGCGGGAGCGTGTTGTTTCCATCGTTTCCTCCAATCATCCTCATGCCCAACAGCATGTCATGGAAACAGACGAACGAATTCGACAACTCTTGTTCGAGGAGCGCGCACAAGCCCTGGCACGAGCTCATGACTCGGCGGATAACGCACTTGTAGAGCTCTTGTCGCTACATCGTCAGAATCGACAGAGGACATCGTCCAACTTAGCTAGTTTGTCACTTCCATCCCGGGCCTTTGATTCCCTCCGTTGCCTTTCTGGATGAGGTCACGAGGCATCGCTCTCCTGCAATGTCTAGCTAAATACTGTAGGTCAGGCCAGTTCCTCCAATGCATACCCAGTTAGCAAGAGGATTGTGAAATAATGCTCTCTATCATGGTTTGGTCTTTGTTAATCTAGTACATGTAGTCAAGATCAGACCGTTTGCTTCTGCAGAAGCTCAGGGGCCGGCTTGGTGTCATCCACCCCCAAGCCAGATTGGTCCCTCCTTGGTGTCCCCGGATCCCACAAAGCGCCGACCAGAGCGCCATCTTCTGTTCCCCAAAGTTTGGCTCTCCTGTACCGTATCCGTCTACTACCGGTAGCCAGCGATTGTCATTGAATGATGAATCCTGCATCTGGAAGCCTCAAGCTGCGGCTTTCTAGCGAGAACCTACCACCGGTGGTACCAGATACCGGTACCGGTACCAGTACATGTACTGTAGCTAGAGTTTTGGTGACCTTCATTGCAACGTACTAGTCGTGCCCTCCCCTCGAGCTCTGTCCCCATCCTCATCTTAGCTCTCTCTAATCCATATAGTAACTCCCCCTTTCAACTAGCTGGCTAGTAGTGTACGGTACTAGCTAGCTAGCTAGCTAGCCAGTAGCTAGTTTTGTGGACCTTCATTGCAACGTTAACTCTAATGAACCGTTACTTTCGGGAAAGATCCAAAGTCAACTTCCTCCCACGTTGCCTCGAAGGATCTCATTTTTTTCCCCGAAGCCTTGACCTCTTCCTGACAACAAAAGCATTCTGCTTCAGTTCCATGGTTTGAACAACTTACTTGGAAGACGACAACAACCATGTTTGCGTTTATGAACCGACAACGAGCCCTGGGAGAGATTGAACGACGACGAGGAGATGTGGAAACGTACACGACACCGTTGGACCACGGCGATGCCGATATGCGAGACTTTTTGATGGATTTCTATCGCAATATTATTTTCAAACGCCAAGACGAAATGAAAGCGGAACTGACGAAATATCCCAAAAGCGTGGGCAAGTACCATGCTCAGTTGGTCGTGGCAGAGCGAAGAGTGGCATCGGAAGATTTCTGGCAGCGCTATTATTATCGAACCGCCAGTGTGGAGCGTGTTCAGAAGGAATTGCAGAATCGAAGTTCCATGGTGCGACAACAACGATCCGATGCACTTCAGGCGGCATTGAATAGCAGCTTTCAAACGGCACAAACCATCATGGCGGCGGCAGGAGCAAGCAGTCCCAGTCGACAAGAACAAGAACAACAGAAACGAGACGAAGCCATGGATGCCATCATTTCGGCGCTCAATGAAGAAGAAGAAGAAGATGAGAAGAAGGATGAAAAACAGAAACAAGCAATCATTCCAGAAGAAGAAGGAGAAGAAGAGACATATCAAGAAAACGAAAAAGAGGACGACAGCGACAACCAAAAACCAGAGCCAGAAAAGGAGGAGCAAATTCTTCCTCAGTCGCCAGAAGTGAGGAGACGACATTCCACCACATCCGTCTATCTCGTCCGAGACACTACCAACGCCCTCGTGGCTCCCAATTCACCAGATGCACAGCCTCCAGATGTAGTAGAACCGGAGGGACTAGTCCCGGAGGATCTGGAATCGGTCGTACTCGGTGATGTGCCGGAACCTCCCCTGGTGACGCCGCTAACGGAAAAGAAGATTCAACTCGTCAGTGACATGGCATTCGTGGCACCACCTCCTGAAACAACAACTGCAACCACAACCACCACAGCATCAAATGACGCAAACACAACCACAACTACAGCAGATGAAGATGACAAGGGAGACAGCAATGATGACAATGAAACTGCGACAGCACCACAGGAGTCGTCTGGTCCCTCCAAAAGTATTGATGACGAACCAATCATCTCCGAAAAGGATAGCAACACCAGTACCATCAGCGAGGAATTGCCCGTGGTTTCTCCCAGAACGGTAAAGAAACTCAATGTTGTCAGCGCCATGTCTTTCACTCCGCCGCTTCCGGTGGACGTACAGAAGAGAGATCAGAGCAATAGTACAAGCACTAGTAGTACCACCACGGCTACCACAACGGCTACAAAGGAGGACAGCGACACGCCAAAAGAGGAAGAGTCGTCTACATCGTCGACAACCAAGGTGGTTGAATCCAGTACTGAAACCGAACCGACAACTGTTGCAGAAGCAGCCACAGCGATCACCACAGAAGCAAACGAAACAAAGGACGAAGCCTCCAAGGCGTCTGCATCCTCGACACCTTCGGAAGGACCTACCACGTCTGCAACTATTTCTGATGATAAAACCAAGAAGGAGACAAACGATGTTAGGACCGCAAAAGACAGTACTACTACTCGCCAATCATCGTTTCTGTGGAGCCCCTTTGGTGGTAGCAAACGTACTGTCGATAGTAGTAGTGCCATGAAGGAAACCACGCCAACGACGTCAAAGCTCCTTGCCAAGGAAGAGAAGATAGATGGCAAAGAACAAGGCGAACCTGTGGCGGCAGCAAGTGAAGATGCTGTCAAGAGTGAGCAAACCGATTCAGAATCACCAACAAAGAGCACGGTGACAAAGAAAGATGAAACGACCGCGTCAACAGCCGACAAGGAAGGCAAATCTCCGGCCAAAGACTCGCCGCCCTCTCCCAAAGAGGAACCTACCAGTGGCAAAGCTGCAACCACCGCTACTGCTAACACAGAAACCAGTGACAGTGGACGTAGATCCTCATTTTCGTGGAATGTATTCGGTAGCAGCAGCAGTAAAGGCAAGATTGAGAGCGGTGCAAAAGACCAGAGAGTCTCGACGCAAACAGAGCAACCAGCCGACACTCGTGACAAACCAAAGGACGAGTCTTCCGTGACAACGGCAACAGCAAATGACAGCGAGAGTGTTGCAGACGCCCCTCCGAAGCAGGAAATCGAGTCAAAAACCGAAAAGAAGAATCCGGACGAATCCAAACCTTCAAGCGACGATGCTGCGACTGTGGAGCAACAAATCAAGTCAAAACCAAGCAAGTCAAAACGAAAGTCCGACAGCAAGTCAAAATCAAAGTCTGACAGCAGCTGGATTACATGGGGAAACAAAAAGAGCGATGCTACCGCAACTACAGGTACATCCAGTCATAATGCTCCATCGACAGACACTAATAGTACCGCAAGAGTACCAGGAGAGGCTGATAAAGCCAAGGTGATATCGGGGGATACCACGGAAAGCAGCCAAACAAACAGCACAAGTGCACGCCAATCGTCCTTTCGCTGGGGTACTTTCGGCGGCGGCGGCAGCAGCAATAGTAACAAGAATAGCGGCGACAAGATAGAGAAAGTGGAATCCCAAAAGGAAGTGGCAACGTCCGTTGAAAACAAACACGTCGGAAAGAAACAAGCCGAGGAAACCAAAGACACTGCTACTAAGCTTGCTGAATCCCCGTCTGCAAAGAAAGAGCCCAATGATCCAAAGAAGACAGCTGAAAAGGTGCCTTGGAAGCTTTGGGGCGACCGGAAGGAGAAGAAGGCAGCCCCGACGGTATCGAAAGATGACCGACCCACAGAAGGGGAAACCAAACGAGCTGCATCAGTCAAGAAGAGCCACGAAGCACCAGATGTGCCACTGCCGGATTCAAACAAGGAGAAACGACCATGGTGGAAACCTTTGCACAAAGACAACAATCCTTCGCCTGGAAATGGGGCCGATTATCGTCCCATCAACGAGCCGTCAAGTTCTGCTGCAACTGCTCCTGAAACTCCCTCACCGCCTGCATCGCTTAGAAAACTGTCAATGGAGGAAGCAAAGGCCTTGGCTGCAAAACAGATTGCAACGAAGAAACGACTGGAATCTGTTCAAAAAGTCCATTTGTCACTAATGCTGCTTCTTTCGACAATCATTCTTGTTGTCCTTTTTGCCCACCGTCCACGGTGGACAACGCTATTGGGGGATACCCTCTGTGCACCTGTTTTCCCATTCCAGAACTTTGACACGGACAAGACAGTTGGGGGCACTGCTCCCTGGTGGGTGCCAGGAGATTCTGCTTCGGGAACCAAGCAAGCAACTTTTCAGTTGGTATGTGGTAATGGTCGGCAGCAAACCGAGTTGGCTTGGGTCCCAGTAGACAGGAATCCCAAGAATGGTTATCGGTTGACCATCGCGAATGCCTTGACGAATAGTGACAGGAAGAAAAAGAACAGAAAGGAGAAGCCCTTGGTTGACTTGAAACATTTGCATTCTACTGCAGTCTCACCTAGCCAGTTGGAAGTGAAACCACTCAAGATGAAGGCAAATAGTGTTGGGAAGACCATGGGTGCTCCTTGGACTGAGGATGCGGGAAAAATGCTATAAGAACTAATTGGTGGTAGTAAAACACCTTGAACTCTCTAACAAACTACATAATGCAATTGCAGTTGTCCAATGCGCAAAATGCATTCCCTGGGCAGTACATTTTGAGGTGATCACCATGAATACTACCGGTTGATCCACTACTGTCGTCGGGAAGGTAACAGGACCTTCGCCTCTGCCTTCATGGACAGACTGTACCATGTTAGCTTCACCCATGTCTCTCTTCTTCTTCTTCTTCTTCTTCTTCTTGTCCACCTGTTTTTATATAATAGAGTGGTTACTATGGCTTAGAGGGAACTAGGGTGAGGAAGGGGTGCAGGGCGAGGAGCAGGATGCAGGAACGCAAGCCGAGCAATTGAGTGCACAAGCAGGGCAACATCAAGACCAAGGAAGGAGTGGGGGCACGGGAGGAGGGCAGGGGGGGTCAAGGGAGGAAGACTAGCGGAAGAGATCAAGAGCGCCTCGGTCATCCCAACGCTTCGAAAGCTTGAGAGCTGGGACACGACTGTCTCTGAGGCACATCGTGGCAGCCCGGGCGAGAGCAATGCTCAACCTGGCAGAAACGAAGGAGCGGACCAGAGTAGGGCTTGGACCACTTGTGAGCCAAAAGCTGGGAGAGCCGTTGGAGAACAGCAGTAGCTTCAGCCTGTTTTTGTGTCCTCAATTTCTCGCCCCAGATCCCACGGACCATAGTCCTGAATTTCGACTCTTCTTTGCTTAAGCCTGGCCCCGGCTGGCTTACGTAGATAATCTACCCACTCTAAAACCCCCCTCATACTTTGTTTTGTGTGGTGTGTTTGCCCCTTCGGGGCTGATGCTTTTAGGGTTAACGGTACGGGACTGATGGGTTCGATTCTTTTCGAATCAAAATCGAATTCAAACTCTGAATTGGATTTTAGTACCTCTTCATGTACAGATTGTACTGGTATTACCAATGCAACCTTCACCTACGGCCTTGATGCTTCTTCTTCTCGAGCCGAGGCGTGTCCTAAGTTTGCGGTTGGGTTGGGTTGCTGTGTCTTTTGGGGTTGACATTTTCTTTTGAGCAACCCCAATGCTATTGTAGGTTTTAGCCACATCAGAATGGTCCTTTCCCAATGCTGACATTCTAATGGCAAGAGCTTCCTTGTGCTTTGCCATAGCATCTTCATAGTCACCCATCTTTTCCAGCACAGAACCAATGTAGCGGTAGGTTTCTGCCACATCAGGATGATTCTTGCCTAATGCTGACAGTTCAATGGCAAGGCATTTCTCGTACTTTGCAAAAGCACCATCACAGTCACCCATACTTTCCAGCACAGATCCAATGCTCAAGTAGGTGTCCGCCACGAAGGGATGATTCTTGCCCAATGCTGACAAACTAATGACAAGAGCCTTCTTGTGCTTTGCCAAGGCACCTTCATAGTCACCCATCTTTTCCAGCACAGAACCAATGTAGCCGTATGTTTCTGCCACATCAGGATGATTTTTGCCCAATGATGACAGTCTAATAGCAAGAGCTTCCTTGTGCTTTGCAAAAGCACCATCGCAGTCACCCATACTTTCCAGCACAGATCCAATGCTGCAGTAGATGTCCGCCACACCAGGATGATCCTCGCCCAATACTGACAAATAAATGGAAAGCGCTTCCTCATATTTTGACAGAGCACCTTTGTTGTCACCCATACTTTCCAGTACAGATCCAATGCTGCCGTAGGTGTCTGCTACATCAGGATGATTCCTGCCCAATGCTGACAATTGAATGGCAAAACATTCCTTGTGCTTTGACAAAGCACCATCGTAGTCACCGATTCCTAGCAGGGCACAACCTATATTGCCGTAAGAGGTTGCCACTGAGGGATGATTCTTGCCGAATGCCGAAAATCGTATGGCAAGAGCTTCCTCATACTTTGATAAAGCACCTTCATAGTCACCCAGCTCAAACAATACAGAACCAATGTTGCTGTAGGTGGTTGCTGTTTCTTTATGATCCTTGCCCAACACAGTTTCACAAATTGTCCGAGCAGTCTGGTGCAGTTTCATGGCTGCACCGTATTCTCCATTTGTCTTTAAGATAACCCCAACTTGGTTACAAAAGTCTGCATAGTCCTCATCATTTGTGTTTTCTCTGGTCTCCACCAACTCTGTAAGGACAGCCAGCATCCATTGTCGCAACAAGTCATTTACTTGATGGTTCAGTGTGGAACACCCAACATCTGACTCTACCCAGTCCAGGATAGCCAGCCTGTCACTCTCGACGGATGCGTTGGCATTTTCCACTTTGGTTTTGGCAAGTGTCTTGTAGAGAGCATTGATACCTCCATCATCATTGATGACTTCCAGCTCTAAGGATCGCTTTTCCTTGGGTGGCATGACAATATCCACCTTGCAGGCATCTGTTGTGTGGGCGGTAAAGATTTCAAAAATGCACCAGACACGAGTGATAAACACTGGCGCATTCCACGGAGCCATCATTGCCAACAGATGCCCAATCCTTTTGACTTGGTCTCCAAAGATGGAGAAAAATTCATCAGTAGAGACCAGGACACCAGAATTGGATTTTTCCACTACCCTGTGTTGATTGACGCAGAGGCAGCAAATCCAGATATACGTTCTCTTCGGATCTAGTTTGTGTTGGTGGCAAAAATCAGAAAGTGTATCCACAATATCTCCAACAGCATAATTCTAGGAATAGCTGAGCATATGAGTTGCCTCTCCAACATGGTCCTCTCCTTGTAGACAATGAACATATGCAGCTCCCAATTTCCCATCAGAAGGGCAAACAGTGTTGGCTCCTTTGCTTCGGATGACCCCAGGAGGACCTTTTAGATTTTCAATTTCATAGATTTTGGAGGATCTAGAAAAAGTCCTTCCTGTTGACTCACCAACCTCTTGCTCGAGAAACACATTCTTCAAATGGAAGACACTGACTCCAAGACAATCCAAATGGTCCATCATGCAGGTCTCTCGTGGTCGGAATCAGTACGACTGTACCGTGTACTGCTGTCAAGGTTCGTGGACAACTCTAGCCAGCTACCGGTACATGTACCACGTGTTGATCTTGACCTTACCGTTTCCCGTGGTTGATACGGTAGCACACTTGCCCTTTCGACCCTGTAAACCTCTGAGACTGTTCCTTTTTCACTGGGACATTGCAGCTTAAATCCTGTGAGTTCATAATTAATTAAGATGCATGGCAGCACAGCCTCTTGTGTGTTTTGCCTTGCGAAGCCTGAAATTTGTTTGAGATGAACCGGCAGACCGGCGGATGCGGTAAAGTACATATATAGTATATATACATGTTTTAAAACAAATTTTTAATTACCGCACCTACCTAATGTTTCTGTCTCCAGTGGCACAGCCCCCAATTAATTGTCAGTTTCGGATGTCAACCTTTGCGGCTTTGAGGCAGTTCCTTGGACTGGTAACTTAAATCCGACGAGATTTATGAACCTGCAGTCCATTTAACAAACTCTCCGTTGAGCCATTGGGATTAAATCAAGTCAACTTACATTGACATAATTGAAAAGAGATGGATCTAATGCTAGTGTCCGAAATGATACCCAGTCATGCGAAGGCACAGCCACTCCGGACTTATGCAAAGGTCCCGTTTTTGGTGAAAGAGCCACTCAACGTCAACCGAACAGCGGAACACACCAGTCCACAATAGCGCGCACTCAATCTTGGATGCAGACCGGCGGTTGGAGTAGAGGGCTTTTGTGCCTTCAAAAAGCGTTCAAAAAGGCGACGAAAGCTCAAAAGCTCCACCAAAAGCTCTTTTGGAATCTTCAATCCAACTCAATCCTTTCTCATTCATTCATTCATTCATTCATTTTCTCGCGAAAGGTCACCACCAAGCAAAGGAGGCAAGATGATTCCAGCCCACTACTACTACCAAAAGAGACAACCCGCTCTTGGCGGCGGCATAAGCTGTGGCGCTTCTGTGATGGACGACGATACGCTGTACAAATACACGTTTTCCCTTGCCAGTGACGACGAGGCCTCTGAGGCGACGGTGGTCGATGAGGTCGATAAGAAGGAAGAAGATTCCTCAGTAGCGGCGCTGCCTTGCTCCGCAACCGTCCAAGACGAGTCGCTCTATCTTCCATCTGCCGTTGGTGGTGCTGAGGCTGAGGCTGGTGAGAAGGACACGGGGTTGCCACTGGGTAATACTAGTAGGGTCGGTAATGTCGCTGGAAGCTCGCTGGTTGGGATGATGATTCTGGAGTCTTCCCTGTTGTACAAGGACAACCACGACGATGACGTCTCGACTGTGAGTGGTCACCCTACCGAAAAGGATTACTACAAGTATACTAGTAGAGACTTGGCTCGGGCTCGGAAATCTGTGGATGTCGACGAGTGTGTGGCAGAGGAGGAGGAACAAGAGGAAGTCACACCAGTCAAGAACAGCCGCACAGTGGTGGAAAAGCCAGTCCTCAAGAGTGTCCTACCACGATCTTCTGTATCTTCTTCCGGAGAGGAACCCACCGTTGTGGATGACTCCTCGGCAGACTTTACCGCCCAATCCAGCAGCAGACCTCTGGTTGTTGTCTCCTCCAGCGACACTAACGCTACAGTCACCACCAAGCAAAACAACAAGCTTTCCAAAAAGAAAAAGATGGGAAACAGTCTTCGTTCCCTCTTTGTTGTCGATGCCAACCGCAGCAAGCAAGAAGGAAGTCGACGAGGTTTCCTGAACAAACTCTTTTCAAGGTCCTCTAGTAGCAAAACAAAGAAGCAGCAAACCATACAGGAACAGGACTACTATCGCAAGCAGAACCACTTTGTCATTGATTGTTAATGTCCACCAACCAACCAGGGCAGCACTGCATGTATCATCATCCTACATATTATCAGTTCAGAACCAGCTCTTCCAGCTTCCTTCCTTTCCTCGGCCCACCCTGTCATCCTCAAAGGGTTGTCATGCTGATCCTCTCATCGCTTCCCTCGCATGTCCCAATTTAGCGTACCAGTAGGTAGTCAATTCATAATACATAATACATCCACAGTAGTGCACATCATGCTCAGAGGATTGGAGTCCTTGCTTGGTTGGTTGGTTGGCTGGCTAGCTAGAGCTAGATAGTATCATCTCCAACAGTACCAAGTGATCTTCCATGCCTTGATTGACTTGGATACCGTACGTTCGGGCTGCTTCGAGTGTTACAACCAACACGCCCCATATGACCGTACAGTACTGGTACCAGCCAGGGCCAGTCGTCCAATCCTGGTAGTTGCCTGGCCTGGCCACTCCGATTTACTGCATCTACTAGCTAGCTAGATAGACCAAAAATGTACGGGTATGACTGAGTATTCCTTTGGCTTCTTGACCGCAGGGATAATTGTCCAACCAGCAACCAGCCACAGATGATTGAAGTCTGCTGATTTCCAGTCTCGGCGGGCATAGCAACTTGCTGGTAGAAGCTGGGAAACAGGGTGCTGTTGGGGTCTACTCTACTAGCTAGCTAGCTAGAGCTACGATTGTACTACATGCTCTGGCTAGCAATCCAAGCTCTAGCTACGCTGTAGCTAGAGAAAGCTAGCTCTAGAGTACTAGTAGCTCTACCGTATGCATTATGCACACGTAGCTACAACCAGCCCCTCCTCACTACGGTACCAGTCTACTAGTACTGTCTAACCAAGCACACAAGCACGCAGCTTGCACTTCATCAGTGGTAATACCCTACCATCTACCTGGTACCATCACCAGCACACCACGTCCCCTCCACCCACCACCACCAACTCCACGATCCAAGCAGTCAATGCGCTTTCTTTTCATGACATGCAGTTTGTGAGATGCCTCCACCCCGAATCTTACGGCAACGAGCATGTTCTAACGGTCCTCATGCTACGTATCCTTGTCGAGCATCTCATTCCGAGCAATAAAGAGATAGAAAGCGTCTCGATCCACGTTTCTATACTTAGATCTCTTTAACAGCCAATGAACGCCCATGAACACCTTCCTGCCAGTTTGGAGAACAAGAGCTTATGGATATGATCGCGGCTTTGCGAAGGATTAAGCTCACTAGGACGCGAATTCTTCTCACTCACGAGTTGAGCATGCGGAAGAAGGAAACTGAGGTACCTGTTCACAAAATGGAGGTTTCATTCATCTTTCAGTCAACCATTGAAACCTTGATTGCTTCTCAGCACGCTTCCACTCGGGTCTACTACCACAAGGTACTGGTAGACTACAAGTCTAGTAGTTCACAGTTCACAGTTAGTTGACAAGAGTGCTCTACAACGACGTCAACATTATTCTATAAATTTATTGCCCTGGCCAAACCAAACCAAAGGAAACCACACCAACAAACATGGCTCCCCGATCCCACCCCGCCCAGAAACGTGGCTCCTCGTCCATGACAGAGGATGCCACTCTGTTCACGTACTCGTACACAGTGGACGGCACTAGGGTGGCAACTCCCTCCACTCGCCGAAGATTGACTGATGCAGGGACGATTGATAGTGCGTCCGTGTACCTTGCGACCGTGGTGGTGGACGACAACCAGCCGGCAGCAGAAGAAGCACAAGCAGAAGATCCCGAAATGGACTGGACCGAGTTCGCATCCCAGGAATCCTTGGTGGGCATGATCATCTACGAATCGTCCATCTTGTACAAGGAACACCACTACGATGATGACAATGACAATGACGATCATGACGACGACGATGACAGCACGACTTGGGATGATGTCCCGACAACCGACGACGACCATGAGATTCCACAATACCAGAATGCCGTGGATGTGGATGATTACAGCAGTCAAGAGGAGGATGACGAAGAGGATCGTTCGCTGACGTACTGTACTCCCTATCTTGCCTTGAATAATAATAATAAGAAGAAGCAGCAGCCAACACGACCTTCTTTGAACGGCTTGCGACCATCGCTCCGGTACAATGCGACAAATAATAATAATGAAGACTACTCGGATACGGAAACAACGGCCCAAGAGGACTCCAGCTACGCATCCAGCTTTGCTTCCAGCCGGGCTTCCTCTTTCTATGACAGTTGCGGAAGCATTGCGTCCTTTTTCACACGACGACCAAAGACCACAAAGACAAAGACAAAGAACAAGAAGAAGATTGGAACCAATCTGCGTTCCATGTTTGGCTCGTCTTCCGCCTCCTCGTCGTCTTGTCGTCGTCGCCAACAAGAAAACAAGAGTCCATCCAAACGCCATGGAAAAGGAAAGGGGAGAATTCTAGGCAAGCTCCTCTCGCGATCCAAAAAGCAACAGCCCAACAACAACAACAGGGACAAGAAGCGCGACCCCCTATTGAGGAACACTGCCAACACCCTCGTTATTGATGTTTGATGGATGAATGAGTTCTTTGAAATGCTACAGTACTATTTCCGACCTCCCCGCCTTTCCCCTTTCAGCTTGCGCTATTCTTCTCACTTCCAGTCCAGTTCCTCCTGCCCTCCTACCTTCCACTACTAGCTTGCTAGAGAGGCTACCATACCGTTGCTTCTTCCCATCCATACCGAATAGACTTCATTTTCGAAAGGTTCCTTCTATGCATATAAAGTTCCAACCCATCTCTCACTCTCTCCATATTTATTTCTTATTATGACTCGCTCCCAGAGTAGCAAGCGGACATTTTACATGCTACTATATAAACTAACTTTCATGCTTTCTTTTACATATCATACATGGCCAGCTAGCTTCTATGATATCATCAGGCCTTTCTTTATCTCCACCTAGCTACGTAGCTGCGGTAAACGCAGGTTAGCTTAGATTAGTCATAAGCAAAACTCACCCTGCTCTCTCAGGCAGGCGCAAGGTAGATGGAATCGATCCGTTTACTCTCAGTAAATGTAACAGTTCCAAATACGCTTCGATCCTCTCATCGTAGAGTATTTCGAACAGTTCTATTTACGTTGAGTAACTGGATCAATTCCGTTTACGCTACGTGATATACCGTGGAGTAGTTGGAACAGTTCCATTTACGTTTCGATAGTCATCGTGGAGTGTTCGGATCAGTTCTGTTTACATCGAGTAACTGGATCAGTTCTGTTTTCGCTACGTGATATACCGTTTTCGCTACGTGGAGTATTGGAACAGTTCCGTTTACGTTTCGATCGTTACCGTGGGATTTTCGATCAGTTCTGTTTACATAGAGTAACTGGATCAGTTCCGTTTACGTCCCGTGATATACCGTGGAGTAGTCGGAACAGTTCCATTACTCTGCGCCGCAGCAGCAGCAACAGCATCCATTACAAAAGTCATCCACCACACTCCACCAAGTCTCTTTCACCTCACCCAACCATTGCTTGATCCCTCTGCTTGTTTGTTGTTGCTGCTGTTGTTGTGGTTTCTACTACTGTTACTGCTACTACTACTACTCTTGGTTCCACTGTTGTTTGCGGTTTGCTTCTGCTCCAGTCACTTGCACCATGGCATCTCTTGGTGGGAGACCTGAGTTGGATTTATCTCCTGGGGAGCGGAGTGACAGGAAGAAGCAAAAGGTTCAAGAAGGCAGGGATCAGAGTCAACTGCTGAAGAACTTTAAACTCCAGAACTCTGTCTTCCTCATTGTGTTCCCGAACAACTCATTGACTATGAGCTCTATGGTACTGAGAAGGCCGCCTTTGAACACCATGAAGAAATTAGCTTTGAGAATCGGTATGACATCCTTGAGCTCTTAGACTTTCATGACAGGAGTTCAAACTTCATGAACACTCATTTGTATGGATCGATCCACAAAAAAATTCCATTCGATCATCCTGGTTTCAATGCAGAACTCCAAACGTTGATTGCCAACAATCAGATGGACACACTGTCTACTGCTATTGCCGCCACGGAAGACAAGCCATCCCACTTGGTTGTGCCACACATCAATCAAGTAATTGCCCAGCTTCTTCGCCAGAGCATTGGCAATCTTCCCGTTCCGGATGGCCAGCAGTCGCGTCCCCCAAAATTTTGCCTTGTGAAGCAGACTTCACTCGTCTTTGGGCTGGTGTTCTTCAAACGATAGATAGATGTTTGGGTCACCGTCACTGAGCACCAGCTGAGTTCTTGCAAGAGAGTACATGCCAAGTAACAATGGTATGGCACTTCCAAACAGCCAACTGAAGACCCACCTACATTGGGAAGGTAAGTAGGCCCTTAATGGTGTGAAGAAGAACATGTCCCTGCCTGGTGAGCAACTTGTAAACAGAGGCCTTCCCTGATTGTTTGTTTGAAACGTTACATCAACCATAAGAACTTCTGGATACTTCTGAAACAGTTTTCTCTCTTCTTCAGTGCACCAGGCACAAGCAAGGAACACCTTTTTGCCCACTTGCATATCTTGCTTCATGGCCAATAGTGCCTCTGCAATACCAACCTTCTCTGCAGCTGACTTAAGTCTCAGCTGCTGGACAGTGGAACTGGAGTCCTCATAGGTGAGCTGTATATCTTCAGCTTGTTCCAGGTCCTCATCAAAGACACCCTCATTGTTCATCTGTTGAGCCCTCCTATTCATGCTGGCCTTTGAAATGATTAGCAAACTTGTCTCAGTGACCTCGTGATACAATGCAACGAATCTCATCTTCTTCAAAGATACTTGCTCCCTGAGGTACTCGATAAGAGCCTGGGATTGGGATACAGGTTTGTTAGAAGTGGGAGACTTGTTGTAACGGAGCTGATCTTTGGAAGGTGCTAGGGTGCCAGTTGCCTTGCTAGTCAAAGCCATTGCGGCACCGGCAGGACAGATTTGGCTATACGTTTGGGCCAGATTCAATTCTTCCTGCGAGTAGGTTTTCATTCTTCTATGTTTGTCAACAAATGGAGTTCGAGAATGGTTGTGAATACCCAGTGCCTTACGAGTTCTCTTGAAGTACCAGTACTGGCCAGGGATCAACCTCAATTTGAATTCAACAGGGCATTTTTTGTGGGGCTTAGATGTCTCGGTTCTGCGGGGAAAGCTCCTCCCATCTGGACCTCGACTACCTTTCCCCTTGTCGACTATTCTATCCTGTCTAAAGTTTTCCTTTTGGTTCTCTTTTGCCGATGTTGTGGCGCCCCGTTGACTGTAGTATTTTCGCTTGCATTCACAAAGTAAATAGTAGTGAATCTCATTGCCAACAGTTTTGTCAATCTTGCCTTTGATAAGAGTTGTGTCAGAATGTTTCATAGCTTTGTCGATGATCAAGTCTAGAGTAACATCTTTCTTGTCAGGATCAGGTTCATAGATAGAAGGAGGAAGTATGATCTTTGTTGTTTCCATTTTAGCTGCAGTTTTGGCATAATCTCCATCAAAGCAGAACATGCAGCAAAGGTCAATTGGAGGATTCCCCTCCACATCCTCAAGGCTAATGGAAGGTACCAACCAACTGACTTCTTCTGTAGAAGGCTGGATACGTGGATTAGTTGGTGTTGGAAACATGGTGCACTTGTCTGAAATCTCATGAGCTGACTACTTTAGGAATGAAATGAAAGGGCACATTGTGTTCAAAGACCAGAACCTCTTTAAAGGCAGCAACCATACCACACCAATGACAGTTTAAGGCGGACAGTATTCGGAACGGTTCCGATTACGTTCCGAGAAGGTTCGAGAAGTTAACAGAACTGATCCGATTACATTCTATGGAACGGTTCCGTTTACTGTCCGCCATGACTACGTGAGTAAATAGATCCGTTCTGTTTACATCACGTAAATGGAACGGTACCAAATACCCCAACGGACGAGCGGGGTGACTTTTGCTTATGTCTAATCCGAAGTGTTTCGTCAGAGTTTTAATTAATCGTGTGGCACCAGGCAAAGGGTGAGAATGATTCTATTCATCATTCTTCAACCAATTCATTATCCCAAAGAGGAAATGGCTCTACTCGACAAGGACTACCATGAACCTATGGCTGCGTGGTGTAAGAGATCTCTCTGGAGTTCTGGAAGGTGTCATCCAGTCAAACAGGATAATCGATAATGCAGAGGTCAGTGTCGACGACTCATTTTCAGATGCAGACACCCTAGAGGTATCTCTTCGCTTTGTGGAAAGGCTTGGTGGCCTCAACGGTCTCAAGTCATTGCGTCTACTCCCAGACAAGGTCCATATTATATACGAAGTCCCAGTCAGGTTGTTGACGATTGCTCTACAGTGGGCACGAGGGCTCCAAATGTTCTCGATATGTGCGGTGGATTTGGTTGGCAACCAAGATGAATTTGTAGAGTTCATGGAGTCCTTGCGCAATCATGCTTCTCTGCACCTGGTACGCCTGATTCGTTGTGGGCTTCCCGACACGTCTCCGCCAATGTTGGCAGACTTTGTTGCTCATATGAAACCTGAACTGTTGGTGGATCAAACAAAGAGATAACTGGATGGTTTCGAGGCTGTCAAGAATGTCGAATAGGGCCTAATTCTGGGTCCAACGAAGGCAAAATCACTCATCGAGACTGAAATCACGTTATTGGAGCATGCAATAATGATGGATGGACATGGAGGCTTGCCGGAATCAATCCGAAGAAACAAGCGGGAGGGCATGCTGGGGTGTTGGACATG